TAGAAAGTGAACATAGAAGTCCCAAAGAAACAGTATATTCCACACTACGTTCGCGCCCTTCTCAATATGGCAAAAAATGCGAGCTGCCCCGTTTTGGTCTCTGTAGTTTAGTGATATTAACTTGTCCAGGAGTAATGATATCATTTCAGTTTTGCTTTGCAGAACTCATACCTAAAATAAAGTCAAAACATACCTTCTAGAAGCAAGTAGTCCACTGAGCGTAATTAAGGCTCCTTTCTAGTTGAAGGAATTCGACCAAAGCGTGGGAAAGCATTCTGCTGCAGGCAATAGTTAATACATTTCCTTATCTGCTCAATATAGTTTATTCAACGAACAATGCTTTTATTGAGTAGCAAGGCACATCCGATCATTCCAAACATTGCTTGCATGACACAAAAAGATAAGAAGATGTTGATGAAAAACGTAGGCAATTAGAGGCTAAACTCAGAGAAAACCCGGTGCCGGCTGTAGCAATAAATTTAAAGCTGTTCTTGCATTCAGTTCCCTGTTTTGGGCAATTCTAAACTGCAAGCTTAAACATGTCACGAAATACAATGCATTCATTTACTGCCCAATTCTCCATTACTACAGGAACAATGCTGATTTCTGAGCAAATTGGAAATCACGTTTTGACAAAAACAGACCAATTCATGATTCCTGTCAATTACGAAGAAATTAAGTGTATCTCAAAGTAATTTGTCTACATCTCGCCCAGTGTTATCCACAGGCCTTTCCATCTAGCTTCCATGTGTTTCCTTTGTGTTTTTCTAGTGTTTCTAAACCCAAAAAAGGGTCAAAGTAGCCCATCACACCATTAGACGCAGGATCAAAATTCTCTTTTGAGATTCCCACACATTTCCTAAGTTCATCTTGGAGAAGTTTTCCTCAGATCAACCAGCCTTATATCTAAAAATGACCTGCGTTTACCTTTCGTTTACATTGTGTTTCAAATAGCGTTGGAAAAGAGCAGTTAGAGATTTAAACTCAGCGCTGGAAATGTGAGATACGTTAGCTCTTG